CCCCCCCCCCCCCCCCCCCGCCCTCGCCGCGGCCATTTCTCCGAACCGGTCGGAGTTGCGCCGCTTCCGACGGTCCAATACTTCGGAATCCACGCCGATAGACGACTCCCCAAAATGCTCTCTCTACGACGTTTAAAGCTCTCTCGCGCAAAAGTCCGGCTACATGCAATGATCTCCTCGGGGTTGGCTCCGTCCCCCCCCCCCGGCTACTGCTGCGGAGATATAATATACATATATATCCGGCTCTTCGTTTTTGGTGGGACTCGGTTGCTAAACGAACACGTCAGTTGCGATAGTAGCGTTGCTTCGCTGCCGTTTTTCCGCCTTGCACCGCTGCAGCTTCAATAGCCGCCCGCCGTCGCCAGTGGCGAAAGTAGGCGTTGTACCAAACCCCCCCTTTTTTTTGCCATCACCGCACCGATGCAGCCTCTACAGCCGCCACCTCCACCATCGCCAGTGGCGACAGTAGCGTCTCCCTGATGTACTTTCTTCTCGGCATTGCATCGCCGCAACTTCACTGCCCGCCGCCGCCGCCGCCGATAGTAACGTTGCCCCGATGCCCCGCCATCGCATCGCCGCTGCCACGGCCGCCGCCGGTCTCTACCGCTCGGTGACCTCGGTCCAAAAGGGATCCTCCGTGGCAAGCGCGATGACGGCGGGGTCCTTGAACTTCTCCTTGGCGAACTTGATGTCGTCCGCAATCGCTACAATGAGCTCGTCTGCTCGCCCCCCCCCCCCCCCCCCCCCCCCCCCCCCCCCCCCCCCCCCCCCCCCCCCCCCCCCCCCCCCCCCCCCCCNCGGAGAGGACGAGGATAAGGACGGAGAAGAAAAGGATAAATGACGGATAATGACGTAGAGGAACAAGAATAACGAGGAGCAGGATGAGAATAAGTGTACGGAGAGGACGAGGGCAAGGCCAGGGATAAGGCCAGGGAGAGCGGCGCTAGGACAAGCGGAAGGGCGAGCAGAAGGACAAGGAAATAAGGAGGAGAAGGAGAAAGAGAACGAAAAGGGACAAAGAGGAGGAGAAGGAAAAAGAACAAAGAGAAGGAGAAGGAGAAGGAGAACGAGAAGGAGCAGGAGAAGCGCCGGCAGTGGACTACGGCGACAACCAGATTCCTGGGTGAGAATCTACTGTATGTGCGTCGCGGTTTTACGGGATGGTTACCAAAAATTTACAATGCCGAGGACGACGCTCAGTCTAAGCATCTCTTCAGTTCTCTGGGTGTGGTTCCGGTCTGTGATCAGCTTACGTGTACGATTTTGCGGTGCCTCTTGGTGTCCGTTGGTGCCAGACGATTGCTGCTGTTCCCTGCGAAAAACTGATCTTCCATCTCTTACGATCCTCTCCTGGCCTCATGGGGGTTCCGGCCTTCCGTGCTAAAATACACACAAAAAAGCAAAAATCCTCCAACTTGGCGGAAACACCCCTCATGATCTTCTTCCTCTGGTATGTGTTTCACACATAGTCCGTCGTCGAAAATTTCCATCGTGCTCTCACCCAGGGAGTTGAAGTTCAGCTCCTTGCGGATGAACCCGCAGAGCAGCACGTGCAGCTTCTCCCCGTAGAAGTCTTGGTCGAACTCGTGCAGGAGATGGGGCTCCTGAAGAACAGTAGTGGGGGGAGGGAAGTTAGACAAATGCCGATGCTAGAGTACTCGGGGTAAGGGCTCGGGGCGTACGCGGAATGCAGAAATCAGCGGGTGGGGTAGGGAGGAGGGGGTGGTGGTTCTGTACACCACACCTGGTACATAGGTTCGAACCCCAGATGCACAAGTGTAGAATCGTGCGATGTTACGTCCACAAAAGG